GATAGTGGCGCTACCCTTCCTGTCAAATCTTGCCGCCTACCATCTGCTTAGAATGTTCACGTAGCAGTTTTGGTCTCAATATTTGTTACTAGCATTGATTACTCTATTGATTCATCCCAAGTCTCCATTCATAGTTTCAAGGGGAATTGAAAGCATTTCCTGGTGACACCGCCGAAAGAAAGCGCGAGCCAATCATAGGAGACTCTAGAAAGTGAAACTCTGACAGGAGTCTCATACTCATGCAGGATACTAGACATGCATTAGAGCGTTACGGCAGAAAGCACAGGGCGCCTGGTTAAACGAACTTCGCGCGAGACGTACGAGGCACGCACGCGGCAGTGCCCACTGCGAGACACTCTCCAAGCAGTTGTAAGAATCAGGCATTGCGCACGCCTCGATAGCTCTCACGTACCACGAATCGGGCTTTCAGGGCACCTGACAAGAGGCCCGTCGCGCAGCGAGAAGGAAGAGACGCACACGTGTCAGCGGACGTGTCGCAGCGTGTACTGTGGTGATCTATTCCAGGTATATTAGGTTGGAAGGAAAGTTCCTTAACACTTGTAGCTCAATTTTTGAATTTATTTTTTTTATTCTTTATTTATTCAATGATCCATAACATATTGACCATTAGATACAACAACACTACGCCAACCTTCGGGCATTTGGGTGACACCGCAGAAATTAGAAATTAGGAAGATTTTTGCCAAACAACCTTCTGGTGTCGGATTTGCGCTCGTTTACGTCGTCGAGCTTCCTGTTCTCCAGGTAATGAGCAAGCGAGCAGGAAAGGTTGAAGAGGTGTATAGATAGGTTTGACGAATATGGCAGACGGGCAGCCGCGGTCCTGCCTGGCTTCAGAGTCTTGTGGCTTGAGACCGAACACCCGCGACGTTGCGCGTTGTCGTGAAGCAGGTTGACTTGTCGCTATATTCGGCGAAGCTCTTCTGCAATCTTTTCGAGCAGCTAGCATTGTGAAGCCCTTGTACTCGTCAATGTTTCCTCCCCCGTAGACCGATTCAATTCACTCCGTGCGCGAAAAGTAGCCTTGTCATGGCAAACGTCAATATGGGTCAGTGTTTCGTGTAATTGCGTCAAGAAAAGTCTCAAAAGTCTCGCTGCAAGACGATTAAGCAAGCCGAAAACCCCGCCATGTGAGGAGAACGTGCCAGCTACTACGAATCATCTGACCTACTCTCTTGTGGCAGATGCTCTCTAGGCGCCTCCTCAGCTGCTTACAGAAGAGCGCGGCGAGCTGTCTGCCGGGAAAAGTTGATTTAGTACCGTTGCAACGCCATTAGGAAAGGCTTGATTTGATGCAGCCTAACGCATACACGTCCAGCTGCTACTATACCCCATAATCAACCCATGGAGATGCCAGAGGGCATTCGGGGAGAGTAATTCCTGAAAGAGCCGCGATTGAGTGTAAGGAACTTCGTTCTTCCAACCTAATAGATTCGCGGTGAAACTCCAGTTCGGGGGGGCCACTCCATTTTTTCTCCAATACTCAAGATAAGGATTAGAGGGCTCACGACACGTAATCGACTCATTTAAAGTAGACTTCTGATAAATATTGGTGTAATGGGTGAGAAACCCTGAAACGTTTTCACATTTCCGCCTGCCATGACCCAAGGGAACGGTCCTTGGACCAGGAGAAAGGACACCTCCGCATAGCGGCCGAAGGGTGCAGGAGCTCCAGGGTGGATCACCTGTGCAGAAAAGTGGATGGGATGTGGGAAGGTAGTGTGGAATGTAGGACATCCACCGGTCCTTATCAAAAGTACGCTCGAAATGAGTCGTTCACTTATTCATCTTATCCGTAGTGTTCGGATAACCCAAAGAACTGCTCTCTTGTACTACGGATAAGATGGCAATGTGGTGGCCCTCCTCCCCGAACTGGAGTTTCACCTAGGTTGTGTTCTGATATGTGCCACATCAAGAGCAAAAACCGCGCCCCCTTTTCCGCCTATCGACTTGATCTGTGTCTCTGCTTATCGCGCTTTGTCTCACGATAGCCTTTCTCGTTTGGTTACAAGTCAATATTTCAAGCATTGGACTATGATGAGGAAAATTGCGCGGTCTTCATATCAGCGCCTCCGAATACACAAGAGGCTATAAGTAAACCGTCTGGGCTACGGAACTGAAAGAATTTCACGATATCTCGCACAGAGGCCTGCAACGTAGTTCGTTCCGATGGCTCCGTTGCGACGAGGCAAAGTGAGAAGTGTGCGTGAAATCAGCAACAGAGCCATGGGAACGAAATGATCAGCGGTCGGGAAGCGCATTATGGACGGTCATTCGTCATACAAAGTTTCGGATCTGCTCGACGCATTCGGCAAACGTCGTGCCCTGGTCGCAGTAGAGGTCCGACACATCCTCCTTGTCTTGAGACAGCCGAATCTGAGCATTTTCTCGTCTCATATTCAACAAACAACTATACATTTCGAAAACAAACAGACGAAAACGGTAAGGTGGAGGGTGGACGTGAATGAGGAAGCTTGCCGACGTTTTCGAGCAAGCTGTCCACATCAAGGTAGGAGTGGTAAGGAAGACGGAAGGAAAGTGAAATCCGAGGTATGTAATCGAGGAATAACGTCGTCATCGTCAAGGAAAGTAACCTGTTGTGTTTGCGGCACTTCGAGTTCGAGTAGATCCATGTTGTTGTAGTTCTGTTTGTGTGACCTCGTGAGTGGATCCTTAAACAGTGTTTCTCGCAAAAGGAAATCCTCGTTTCACATTAGAACTCACAATTGGTCGCAATACTTGATGGTGAACATTTGATGAAGCCGTTCTGATCGAGCATGAAAAAGTAGCTTCGTCCGCCAATCTGAAGATAGATGAAGCTATAGCTAGGGATCCATACCGTAAAAACGAAAGCTCAAACAAACGACAGGGCGCATGGCTCTGAAATTTTCTGATCTGCATTAAACGCGAGCCAAGTAAGAGTCGCTGGCAAGGTGCCTCGACAGTGGTCACTCCGCAGCGATTCACACTTTTTCGACAATTTTGTGACCACGTTCCCTTTAGGGGCTTCGAGGGAGGTCTCGATGCGCCTCCACCTCCACCACGACGCTCCCCGACACGATACCCCTTTACCCTTCTTTGACCACCGTCCTCGGCATCATGGCTGTTTCTTTGCTATACAATTCTGAGCTCAGTTCACACTCGACCGCAACTCCCTCCCATCTTCCCGATCACAAATGCGACCCCCTCCCATCTTCCCGATCACACCTCGCTCGAATAGTGCGAGCGGATGGTAGAGTCTGCCGTGGTAACTATTTATAAACACGTCTGCTTTTACAATTGGAACATATCAACACTAGCCGCAATTGTGAAGGAGATCCATTGACGTTAGCTTTACTCAGAGCATTATTCACCAAATTCAAGCTAAAAATCTTCACCGCTCAAAGCGAGGTGGTATATTTGATTCGAATTTTGAAGGCTAAGAAATCAGCCTAGTTAAGGGAAACAAGGCTCCTAAAGGAACGAGTGTGGCACTTCTTCAGCGAGTGTGGCCGAACCATTACTGCTCTTTCAGTCGCTCAAACCGTTCGTACGTCTGCCTGCCTTCTGAGTGACTGGCTTAGCAGCTACTCACTGGCAGAATAGAGGTCCATTTCGCGGTTTTCAGGCAGTCTTCATCGCTTTTTTTCTTTACCAGTGCACCATTTGGCAGCCCAATTTTCACTAGCAGTGGGTGTTGAAATTATCGCACCATTTGCCTTTCCAACGCACTCATAAAAATCCAGTCATTCGCAATATTCAGGCGGCGGATCGTTAGATCGTAACGTAACTCTTGCAATAAGTCTTTAGTCTTTTCCCTCCCTTCTTTATGTACGCGCCAGTAAGAGATGGGATATAAAGAAGGTAAAACATTTTGCTTGTCGATGCTTTTTCGGATGCACCTCGCATCCCTTCCATACGATTCAGACCAGACAGAAGAACGGGGAGGGGGCATACATAGCGATAAGCAAGTCAATTCCATCCTCTGAGAAAAAATTGCTACCATTTGGCCTCCTTGTAATGAAATGCCTAGCCGCTCAGTTACTGGATCTTGGGCTTGGACCATGTGCCAGATAGAAAGCGCCACTTGCCAGAACACGACTCCCATCCAAGAGATCTGAGGGATTACTGTCAGAGTCAAATGACATATGGTGGCCACTCAAACCTTAGGTACAGAAAGTTGCTTACATTGCTGGGATGAGCTTGCTGATTGAGCTCAGTGAGCGGAGTGTTAACGGCGGCCACTCCCATGAATGTTCCGTTGACAATCACCGGGAACGAGACAGTGGTGACGAACATCCGTCCTCGGGCTTCAGTTTTTTGAAGACGGATTTTCTGGAAGAGGACCACATTTTACTCTAGTAGTGAAGAAAAAATATGACTATTTTGAACTCACTCGACGAGCTGCCATCTTGTTCATAATCGCGTACTGAAAAGTGATTACATTAAAAAGTGAAGATTCAATACCAAATACACCTCTCCGCGAAAAAGATTTTCAGGGGCACCTGGACTTCCACTGTCTTGACCTACTACGACTCGCCAAATTTAAGTATGGAAAATATTAGGTGTTTCAGAAAGTTCTGTCGTTTTCCAGCCCCTAATTTTAAATGCACGTATCTCGGCTTGGGACTGAACCTTTCGAGTTGATTAAAAAACCATTTGAAAGCGCGAATCTTTTTCTAT